GGGCCAGGGCCAGGGCGGCACGGGCCAAGGCCAAAGCATTGCAGGCCAGAGCCAAGGCCAAGGTGGCTTTGACTCAGTCCAGGGGCAGAGGCAGGCCAAAGAGCTCTGCTCCGGCCAGAACTGCAAGGAAGGGCCAGAACAGCTGCCCCGAGACTTTTGGGCAGAAGAGGAAAAGGGCCGAGGAGGCAAAAGATCTTCCTCCCAAGAAGAAAACACGGCTTGGCCCCCAGTCTAAGGCACAGCTAGGGCCTGGAACAGTGAAGCTGCTAAAATGTCATGCCATTAAGATAGATAAGCGCTCCTCGGATGATGAGGTGCGGCAGCGGGCTCAACGGATCCTCCAGATGAACCTGTCTCCTGTAATACGGCTCCAGCCATTGCTTCCATATTCGGCACCCTGATTCCTTCACACAGCAATGTTTGGGGAAACAGCCCAGCTATCTGTGTGGCCAGTGGCACAGTGTGCTATGTCCAAGGACTCCACAACCTCAAGGACTCTGGATACCTCTCCAGGGTCCTGACAGCCACCAGCCTCCTTTCAGAAACTGGAGGATGTAGGGTGGGGTGGGTGGGTGGGAGGGATGTTCTTATGGCGCAATGCACTGTGACTTGTTTTTCAAGTTGTATGTCCACTGTTCCATCTATCACGTTTTATACCTTTCCACCTTCCAGTCTCCCTGCCCACCCTCCATGGTCTTTTGTGTGTGTGTGGCTGCCGGCAGGTCAGTTTGAGCATATAGGGAAAGTGGCCCCAAGAACAATCCTGCAAGCTTTCTTGCACGGGGGGTTGTAGGAGGGGGCAGCTCCCAGACCCCTTTGGAGAAATGAGGGGAAACTCAGGTGCTGGCTTCTGTGGTTGTGTGAGAGGCATACCCTTAGGGCAGAAGTAGAGCTACTGTAAGGTAAGACACTGCCCTTTTAGGCTGTCCTGAGTTGTTATCCAGACAGTTCCCATGAAGGAGAACAGTAGATGGTTCCATTGGGAGCCTTGCAGCCAACAGGTTTTTAGGCCAGGGAAGGGAGCCTTTGTGATATTGCTCCCTAGGAACCAAACAGATAGCCTGGCTGAAACCTTGGGACTTCGCCTGGGCTTGTCTCCCATGTGGCCAGGCCTGAAGGGGTCAAGGCACCTCTCGCCTTTTGCTTTGGAAAGGAGTGACTAGCCTCAACGTGGTGGCAAAGGGCTAAGTGTTCAGTCAGACCACGGAGCCTGCCGTGACTGACCAAAGTATTTTCTCTTTGGTTGGGTGGAATACTTGCAATAGTGGAGCCAGAAGGGTTTCCACAACTGCTGCCTCAGCATGCTTTCTGCATGGATTTCAAGTGCTTTCTACTCTCAGATCCTGCCACACACCATGCTACCCTATATGGGCCTGTATGTTTCAGACATTGGGCCTTTTTTCTTTGGAGAGGGGGCTGGGCCCTAGGCCCTTGAATGGGAACTTAAGTACCTCGCCTACCTGCAATACATTGCTGGCTGCCTAGGCTGACTGGCAGCCACTAGGGTGGGCAGAGAGGGGATACAGTCCCTATAGGTTCATAGAGACAACAGCTTTTCAGGAGTAAGGATGGGACCATCTTTTTTTTTTTGAGACAGAGTCTCACTATGTCACCCTCAATAGAGTGCTATGGTATCACAGCTCACAGCAACTTCAAACTCTTGGGCTTAAGCAATTCACTTGCCTCAGCCTCCCAATTTTTTGGTTGCAGTTGTCATTGTTTAGCAGGCCCAGGCCAGGCTGGAACCCGCCAGCTTTTCTATCTGTGTCCAAGTTGTGCTCAGTTGTGGAGAAGGGCGAAGTTGGGTGTACTTGTTGGTACCCCATCCCTCCTGCATCTAGTGGCTGCTATTTATTTAACATCCTTCCTCTGGTTGTGTCTGCCCTTGGTTCCCCAAGCTGGGGATTCCCTTGCTTTTAGCTATTCTGTGGCCTCACAACCCTGCATGCTTCTTGCCTCTGACAGTTCTGCTTTCATCTACAGCAGCGGTTCTCAACCTGTGGGTCGTGACCCACAGGAACTGTATTAAAGGTCCACGGCATTAGGAAGGTTGAGAACCACTGATCTATAGTGTGAGTGTGGGGAATGACCTGAGGGGTGCACTCAGTTCCTCAAGTACCACTCAGCATGGGGTCCAATAAGCATCCTCTCTTAGGTCTGATTCCAGCTCCCAGCACCCAGGACTCCCATCTGGATTGGGTCTTCTTCCCTTTCTGCTGCTCCTGCTGCTAATAGGTGAGGGATTAGCTCTTTCCCAGAGAGCCAGCCAGAGGAGAAGGAAATACTGAGCTTTCTTGTGGGGTAGGATTATGTGGAAGGTGTCTGTAGGATTTCTTATTTGACCCTGCATCTCCTAGATCAGGCTCCTGGAACGGTTGCCCAGGAAGTGCCAGATACACTTTCCCCACCTGGCTGCTCAACTGGTAGTTGCTACCTGCCCAACAGCAACCTGGTGGTTGGCCATGGCCTTCAAACTTCATCCACCTGTGTCCTCCTTGGCCTCAAACTCGACTGTACTGTCTGTCATCTGCAGGTGGGAGGGAGCATGAGAATTCAAGACTAGTATCTATGGGGTGACCTGGGCAGGTTTGGCTCTGTGGGGGAGCTAGAGAGGGGCCTGTACTGTGAAATTTTGGAGTAGAGGTCTGACAGTGAACCTCCACTCTAGTCCTGGGTCCTCCTCCAGGACTCCTAAGAAGTGCCGCTTCTGTGACTCGGGACCAGGGAGGCTGTGACATTGAGAATGATCTCCTGAAATGGCTATGGTGGCAACAAGACCTGGTGGCAGGCAGAGAGTGAAGAGGGTGCCAGTGTACCCATGTGGTATGGGTCTGGAGTGAGCTAATCAGGGCCTGGTCACTCTGATTAGCCTTCATAGCTACAGGTATCCAACACATTACCATTCAGCTGGATCTAGAGCAGGCATCCTCAAACTACGGCCTGTGGGCCACATGCGGCCCACCGAGGACGTTTATCCCCCCCGCCAGGTGTTTTTGCCACCTCTGCCTATCCTGATTAGCAGCCAACTCATTCTGGAACCTGTAGTCCAGCCCTCCAATGGTCTGAGGGACAGTGAACTGGCCCCCTGCTTAAAAAGTTTGAGGACGCCTGATCTAGAGGGTACCTTCTACTTTACCCACCTCATCATGACATTGAAGGTACCCAGTTCCCCAACCTGAAGGCTTGCAAGTAAGTGCTGACTCTTGCCTCCTTACTTGGTGTCCTGGTGATCCAAGGATGCCTCTTGTTCCCGGACGTTGTGCTCAGCAGCTCTGCTGCTTGTGCACTCTAGTAGACCACGGCCCCTTCCCGCATGTGTGCCAATAACTTTGCCCACAACTGCTCATGCCTCTTTCCCAGATCCTTCCTGCCTCAGTACAAGGGTCAGTGACCTCATCTGTGACCAGTGTTATTGGGACCTTGAGCCTTTCTCTGAGGGTGAAGTCAGGCCCAGGGAAAAGAGGGATTGGTCCCTGGAGTGAAATCAGAAACTCAAGTCTCAGGTAAATTTCAAAGTTCTGGACTCAGCTGTTCCAGTGGAGGCCTCTGGCAACCATGAGTTTCAAGGTAATCATCACCAGGCCCAATCTTGTATGTTTGTGTTAGGACAGAATCCAATACTCAGTGGGGGGAAGGACAAGCAGGCAAGCCAGCTCAGTCTCCCAGGGTCATTCCCTAGCTGTGCCCCATCATGGTCCTTTATTGTGGTCCTTGTGGCCTCTCTTCCCTGTCTTATTATTGTTCGCCTATACCTGTGCCCAGTGCCCCATCACTGAACCCCTTTATGAGGCCCCATCATGGTCCTTCATTCCTGTCTCCATCACTGTCCTCCATCTCTGCTCCTATCTCTACCCCTCATAACTCTCCCCTTTGTGGGCCCTCATTGCTGCTTCTATCATTCTGTCATGGTCCTCCTCTCATTTTCCCTTATTAGATTTCATGACACTGGCCTCAGTTGGTACCCTTCATCCCTGCGGTTGCCTCTAGATGGCACCAAGACAGCTCTAGATGTGATCCCTTCCTTGTAAAGAAGTTTTGTTAAAAGAGAGCCACATAAACATAATCCAGGAGGGAAGCCTAGAGCCAAGCCAAGAGAGTACTAGACCAACACAAACCCCAAACTATCATTTTCTCTATATCCACTGGGTACAGTCTTACTAATTGACTGTGGTTACCAGCTGCTCATCCTGAGACCTTATAATAGGACTACAAGCTGCTGTTGCTTTTGCCTACAGAGGAAAGATGTAGGAGGTAGCCTCAGCTTGGTACCTGAGGTGCGCCTCTTTCCCAGATCCTGCCTCTGGACCAGGGTCAGTGACCTCATCTGTGACCAGTGTTATTGGGACATTGAGCCTTTCTCTGAGGGTGAATCCGGGCCCAGGGCAAGGGTGAATTGGGCCCTAGAGTGAAATCAAAGGCTCAAGTCTCAGGTAATTTTCAAAGTTCTTACCTAAGGTAAGGAATAGAGAGAGGAGCCATGGACCCATCCCTTCATCTATGTGTTCATTCGTAAGTGACAAATTGAGCCCCATTCCCTGTCAGGCACTTTCTGGGCAGTTCTGGATGGGAAACAGAATAAATATCTGTCTTCTTGGAGGTGAAATCAAAGTAAGAAAAAACAGTTGATAAATAATCAAACTACAGGCATGCATTGTTTAATGACAGGGATCCTTTGTGAGAAACATTCATTAGGCAGTTGAATCATGTGATCATCAGGCTTACACAAACCTAGATGGTATAGCCTACTACATACTCTACTATACTATATACATACTCTATATACATACTCTACATACTCTACTATATGGTAGAGCTTCTTGCTCCTAGGTTACAAACCTGTATAACATGTGACTGCTGAATACTGTAAGCAACTATAATACAATGGTAAGTATTTTTGTATCTAAACACAGAAAAGGTAACAGTAAAAAATAGGGTATAAAAGATAAAAAGTGATACACTTATATAGAGCCCTTACAATGAATCAAGCTTGCAGGACTGGAAATTGCTCTGGGGAGTCATGGAGTGGTGAGTATATGTGAAGGCCTAGGACATTACCATACACTACTGCAGACTTTGCAGCCACTGTATACTTAGGCTACATTAAATTTATTTTAATTATTTTCCTCAATAACTTTAGCTCACTGAAACTTTTTTTACTTTATAAATTTTTAATTTTTAAATTTATTGACTCTTATAAAATCACTTATTTTAAAACAAACACATTGTACAGAAATATTTTTCTTTATATCTATAAGCTTTTTATATTAAAAAATACATATTTTGGGCAATTCCTGTGGCTCAGTGAGTAGGGCGCTGGCCCCATATACCAAGGATGGCAGGTTCGAACCTGGCCCTGGCCAAACTGCAACAAAAAAATAGCCTGGGCAGTGTGACAGGCGCCTGTAGTCCCAGCTACTCAGGAGGCTGTGGCAAGAGATTTGCCTAAGCCCAGGAGTTGGAGGTTGCTATGAGCTGTGATGCTACAGCACTCTACCGAGGGTGATAAAGTGAGACTCTGTCTCTTAAAAAAAATACTTCTTATTTTGCCAGGCACAGTGACTCACGCCTGTACTCCTAGCACTCTGGGAGGCTGAGGCGGGTGGATTGCCTGAGTTCACAGGTTCAAGACCAGCCTGAG